GAGAAAATGAGCGCTTCATGTTTGCTTTTAGGCTATCCATATTCAGAAGCATGGAGACAGCAGTGGAGAAAGCACAGGTCTGATAATCGCAACGTTCGTGGTTCGAGTCCAGTCGCGGCATCTGTTTCTTTTTTTTTCGACATTACTAATTTCACTCACTAATACACTCTACATTTTTCGGTCTCCAATTTTCTTGCATTGGACCGCAGCTAGGTATATCGCATTCTCGGTTCATGCGGTCTCCACTAACATCCTCTGATGATGAATCCCACATAATTGTAAGAGAATCTTACATCCCCCGGTTGGGTGTACATGTCCCCTACCTCATTTTTTTTTAAATTCATCAAGAAATGGCTAAGCTATGCCATTGCAAACTTGCCTTTACACGTTTTTCGGAGGCATCGTATTCGGAGTGTTAATCACTTTAACCAATTTGGTTGCATACTTCTACCATTTTTTTCGAAGTCTCTATAGTTTTTGTTGAACATCCCTTAGAATAATCTTTCGAATTCTCTCTGTTGTTGCTTACTAATTTTCTTCACAACACTGTAAGAATAATTCTTAGAATTAGTTCCACAAGTTTCTTCGAATTTTTAATTTTTTTGTCCACACAAGGTGCAAAAGACTCTATTCCTAATTCTCTTTAAAACGAAAAAATTCCCTTAAAAAGTTCATAGGAAGCTCCTTGATAAACCCTTCACAATTTCTTTGGAATTCTTCCCAGACTATTATTGGAATGCACTTCCAAATTCTTCTGAAGTTCCAGAAATTTACTTCATCATTCTCTTAGAACTCTCTTCGGAATTACCTCTCTTCCAAATCACTGAATTTCTTCTGTAAATTCCTTTGAACTAAAGTCTGGAACGTGCAAAAATTGGTCAACTTCGTCAACTTGGTGTATTTCTGTTAAAAATGCATAAAAACCTTTAATGCTGCATTTGGAAGTTGAGTGCATATACAATGGTTGCTTTGATGAGTTTTCACAGTTTGCTTTCCAGTTTTCAAAATGACGTCCAAGCAAGAGGAGCAGCGTGTCAAAATTTTGTGTGAAGGCGGATTTCAAGCAGCTTCCGGGACATGAGTTTTATTCCGCATCAAACTATATATATATATGAATTGAACTAACAAAAGAAAAATAAGAAGATTTTTGTGATATGAATTTTGACTGAAAGAAACGATTTTTTTGTCGACCAATTTTTGCGCGTTTCAGTCTTTATCATCAGAATTCGATATATTTTGTTTATCTGCTGGTTTTGACGCTCTTATCCAAGATTACGCTTACTCTAAACGTTATATCTTTTGAAGCACTTCCACAGTTATTAATTGAGCGCTTTATGTGCCAACCAATGCCACAGTGGTTTGAATGCTCAATATCACGAACTTTTTTATTTGCGCCTTCAATGTCGGTTTTTTCACTATGATGTCTTTAAAAGAGTTTTTGCATAAAATAAGGCGCAAAGACTAATGATAGTTTTTGGTTCAGAACTCCACCACAGGCGGCACTGCAAAATCTAACTTTTTTCATTTACAAGATAGGTATGTGGTGTCTCCAGCAAAAATGTAGATAATTTTACTACAACAATCTTTGCTGAACACACAAATCCTCTATATTCCTTAGTTTTTGCGATACGTAGCGTTTAATGTGACTGTTCAACAAAATTTAATTTTTTTCAGTTTTTATAACATATTTAAAAAACTATAGGTTTTAGAAGACTATAATGTTCTAGAAATATTTGAATTTTATTACAATAAAAAACTTTGTTCAAGACATCCAAAAAGTATCGATTACACAGACTGAGTTATTCACAAATTTAGTAAAAAAAATTACATATTTTGTGCCCTCACAGACAAAAATCCGGCAAAATCCGGCAGGTGAATCTTGAATAGGATGAAAGCTTGTTCAAAAGTGATCTCAAATTCCATTGAAATATTTGTCCCTTTTAGTATCCTCGTTGATTGTTTTGTATTTTTAAAAGGTCGTTCCGTAGTTCAGTGACAGCGCGCATTTGTCTAAGACTGAATCAAAGTAGGCTTAGTGATAATATACCAAAGATTGGTCACACATTTATCGGTTTTGCAGCATTAAACGCATATTACTTAGAAAATATTCCTTTTATAGTGAAGTGAAGGTTATTTTTTCAACATTTCCGTAGCAGATCCCAAAAGTGAGAAAAGCATGTCTTTCAACAATGAAGGTAAGTACAACCATGTAGTTAATAAGGTATTCAGTGTTATTTTCCAATTCATGATATAAATGAGTTATCTATGGAAGTTATTTGTTTGTGACAATTTCAAAAATAGTTTAAATTATAAGTTATCAAATAAAATTTCAGTTGAAATCGACAGGCGAAAGTTTTTTAAACTGTGGAAAGAATTTAAGGGAAACGACATTGATAAATCAAACGTTGTGTCGAGAGAAGAACATAATCAATGCCGTAACAGTCAAAAAATTCTCTGGACACAAGTGGCAGCTGAAGTCAACCATTTTGTGAAGGCGACATGCAAATATTAAAAAAAAACTGTGGGAAACCCACAACCGGACTACGCTTGAAAGCAGTCGTGGTTATTTCGATAGCCCCTTCAAACTACCACAGAAAGTTGTTGATCGTTTCCCTTGTACTTCTGGATCTTCCCGTCGTGCAAGAAAATCTTTGGCGTTCGAAGAAAGCAGCGAGGTTGTTAAGAGACGCAAGACGTCTGCAATGCGGTCTAACTACCCAACAGATGAACTTGCATTTGCAACCCAAATGAAATTACGCGAGGATGGTAAAGAAGAATGGAAGCCTGGACTTTTGAATTGGCTTCAATCATACCTAACACATCGTAAACAAATAGTTCGCTTTCAAAATAAACTTTCAGAACCAATTTCAGTCACCTCTGGGGTACCCCAGGGTTCTCATTTAGGCCCACTTCTTTTTATTTTGTACATAAACGACATTTCCTACATACTTAAAAAATAAAATTGCTTGTATATGCAGACGACATGAAGCTCTTTATGGAAATAAGTAATTCTAGCGATGCAGAAGAATTCCAGAATGAAATCAATATATTCCACACCTGGTGTAGTAAAAGTCTACTTCAACTGAACGTAAAAAAATGTACTGCGATAGCATTTAGCAGAAAAATTGAAACACCGCATATTGAAATATCATTAGGCAACCAAATAGTAGAAAAAAGCAAAATTGTAAGAGATCTAGGTGTAATCCTAGACTCCAAACTAACTTTTATAGAACATTATAATACTGAGTTGGTTGGAAATGCTAACATGAAGCTTTAGTGTGATGATTTATTAGCTAGAGAATGATCTTTAGAAGAGGGTAGGTGGATAGTTCCGTTAGAGTACGGCAGTATGAAAATTGAATAGAAGTTGAAAATGAGCGAAGGGCCATTAATGCGACAGTTTTTAAGATAGACGCACATTTTTGCCTAACCCGTACGATGTACGCGGAGACTTGAAGTATGTCTCCAAGTCTACAGGCAAAAATGTGCGTCCCTCTTTTTGCTCATAAACTGACTGCGGCTGTGGAATAGTTCTAGCGACGTTTTCATCACTACCTAAAGCCCCACGTTGCGAGAGCATTTCCAGTCGATGGTGTGTTAAATGCAGTTCTTCTTTACCCAACTATTGTGTTGCGTCTATCTTTAAAAACTGCCGCATTAATGGCCCTTCGCTCATTTTCAACTTCTATTCAATTTTCATACTGCCGTACTCTAACGGAACTATCCATCTACCCTTTTCTAAAGATCATTCTCTAGCTAATAAATCATCACACTAAAGCTTCATGTTAGCATTTCCAACCAACTCTGAAAATCGTTAACTTCGCGTATGAAGTAACATAAAAAAAAACACTTTGAATGTTAAAATTTGTTATTTTTTTAATATTATTCTTCACAATATCGATCATAAACTTGCTGAACAACAAATTTGTAATGACCACTTAAATAAAAAGTGCTATAAAAACGCGCGAAATCTACGCTAAACGCAAATTCCACGCCAGCTGTAATAACCCTGTAACTTAAACTAAAATTTTAATGCATAGTAGATTTTCCTAATTGAGTGAAATCGCAAACCTGCATAAAATTTAAATCTGAAAAAAATCTGAGAAGCTCAGGGAGTTTCAACTTTTTTTTTTGTATTGCTTCCCTATGTAATGTTTGGGACGATAAAAAATAAAAAAAAATAAATAAATCGTCGGGATCCTTTGGTAGATTATTTTTAAACAGGTCTCAAAAGGTAAAGAGGTCTATTTTTAAATCAATGCTCTGATGTGATCAATGCTTTTTTTTATAATATTGATCTTCTAAACGATGCGCCGGGACCGTCCTCGAAAACAAATAATAATTCCTCCAAGGGAATCGAATATTGAGGATAATTTCAAATGAATTCCTAGGAGAATGTAAAATGGATATTCCGAGGAGAACTTCTGAAATAATATCAAAGAAATGCTTAAGGCAATTTAAATGAAATTCTGAGGTCAAATGCTGAGAACGTAGGACCAGAAAAAGTAAAGTAAGTAAGCTGAGGAGGATAAAAACTACACTTTAATTCTAAGGATAGTTTCAAAGGAGAATACTATAGAAATTTTGAAGAAACAGGGATTCTAGGAACAATGTCAAGGCCTCAGGAAAATCTCTGCTGAATTTTCGGGATTTAGGAAAATGTGATCACCCCTAAAAAACAGAAAACTCAACAGCGATCATATACACTCCGCACTCACAAGCCAGCAGCCAGCCAGGCAGGAGTGAACAGCAACGACGAGACCCACCAACCGTCTGGTCGGTTTGCTGAAACTTCATGAAATCAAACTACGACAGACATGCAATCGCCATATATGTAGGTATGGACAAACTGCCAGCAGTAGTGTTAGCGGCACGTTAACCGTTTAAAACTCGACGAGATAGAGACAGGGTTTGGGTTCACCCGTACCAAGCAACAACAATGCAATAGTTTAGTATGAACACCGAACGGATGGATGTGGATGGATCTAGGTATACGTCAGTCAGGCAAGCGAGCAGACAGACGGTGGAATTCAGTGTAGATTGGCTGGTCGCGACGAGCGTTTGTTGTTGGTTAAACACCGGGTAGTTGTATTACTGGGATTTTACGGACGGACAAGTTGGTCGAATATTAATCGTGTGCTGCAGGTTACGTGTTAAAATTGCGTGTACATCGTCGCGTTGATGGTTGATGCGCTACATCTGCTGATGTGACGGAAGAGGAAACCTCCATCGGTCGTCCCGTCGTCGTGTAATTATACTGCATGCTCCGGCTGAATGCAGACCACGTTCTGGATAACTGTTTGAGAAGATGTAATAACAAAACGCCAGTGCTTTGGTAAATTTTCGGGTGAGAATCGTTCCAGCAGAAGATCTGGGAAAGGGGGTACTGGGGAATGTTTAATATCCGAATAACGTTGGATTAATCGCGTGGTATTGCCCACTTATTCGTTGGTGATGATGATGATGATGTTGATGGGTAGTGGAATTCCCAGTTCGATACATCGTTTATCGAACTGAGCCAGATTGTCTTGTGGCAATTTCCACGTACAAGTGGTTGTGTGGCAAGCTTAAGGTGCGTGTCAATATTATCGAATTGCACTGTTTACATCGCAGCATAGCTACATCAGAAGAAGTGAGCATAGCCAAATGGAGGAATTCGAAACCTTAAAGGAATTAAAGTGTATTAAGGAGTGAAACTCGATTCGTTGTCGTCGTTGTTGCTGTTGTCGGTGAAGAGAAGAACAAAATATAATAGCCCAGGCAATAATCGTACCAATAAAAACAGAGCGCCTGCCGAGGAAACAAAACACACAGCAACAAGAAAAAGCGGAAACCTTAGTGGTGTGCAGGCAGGCAGGCAAAACAGGAAGGCGGTGAAGTTCCCCAGATGTCGATTTGGATTGTGGTTGTGGAGTGTGGTGACCGGCATGCAGAGGGAACTCGTTGTTCGTCGTTGGAATGAATATATATCGTTAATCACATACAACTGCGCGCGCGGTCCGATCCGCGATCCCCGGGTCCGGATTGGACTTAGGAATGCTCATGTTTATGTCATTCATATGACACAAGCTGATTACGGCTACATAGCAATAGCCGGAATGGATTACGGGGAATAATGAAGCGTCAAAACATGTAAAGCTACTTTGGGGGTTTTTGGGAATGCAAAGTAATTTCAGTTGGTGTTGTAACGTGCAGCTATATTTATTTCAAGGAATGACGGAGCCATCGAGGGAGGTATGCCGAAAGAGCTTGCCGCAAATAATCTCTCGAAATTATTGCTATTATGAGTTTGACATGAAAGTCAGTTGTTATCATCGGCCAGAGGCACCGAATTGGGCCTTGAAATGGGGGAAATATGAACATTGAAATGTATCTTTTAGCCAACTGAAGTAAAGATTAAATCAGTTTTTTTAAGGAATCGGCTGTTACGGATTATGTTGGAGGATGTGGCTTTCAGTCTGATTTGCCCAAAAACGGGTGTTAAGTGTGCATCCGACGATTCGGTCACATGTAATATGCCTTTTTAAGAATTTGTTACAGCTGAGGTTACTTTGATCAAATATCGTACGATGCCGTCTTATTGATGACGGAGTCTTCGAGTAGGAATCTTAAAGTCTATCACTTGAAGTAGAGATGGACAGTGCACGTTACCTGAGAGGATGTCAAAATGAATACTTGATCCAGAGGTATACGATCCATCTCGACCGTCAGTCAAATTCGATGAATTGACATTTTTGTTCCTACTGATTCTAAATGAACCATGCTTCAAATGTCTCTCATATTCGAGTAAAATTTGGTTTTTATTATGAGTGACATATATATTGACGAGCAGTTTTAGGACGATCTTCTACCAGATTTTCAAGCTTAGCATAAATAAAACCCTATTTTCACGAGGTTCTAGAAAAATTCTTTTCAAAATATTGTTCTCAGGTAAAGTTTGAGTCACGTGGTCCATTAGCAACTGTGGAAGTGCTCCAAGAACACTGAAGTCCCAGCAGGGACGTAATAATGCCGAAGAAGTAGAACAAACACAGAATGGCAAGTGAATGTTTTGTTTTGAAATTCCCGGTAAAAATAAGATAATTATTTCGGTTGCTATACTGGTATGCACTCAGCAAAAAACGAAAGTGCTCGGTGTTTTAAAAACATGAGCAAGTGCAAATCTTAGAAGTTGTTTGTGGAAAAATATCATCAGTAGAAAACTACAGGAAGCGTTTTTAAAAGTTGAAATGGGTCGCTTGATAAATTAAAAATCGTGCTGAATGAGTCATTAGATTGTTAAGAGTGAGAAATTTAATTAAGCTATTTTTAAATTTAATTTAATTATAATCACCACATTTGGCATTGGAGCCCCACAGACTGAATTATCGGGACTTAATGCTGTTCTTAAAAACTAGTTTACTAATATTAAAATCAAAAGCAACACACACAGCATTGAACAGTCTGTAACATTTGTCGAATGAATTGTTATAGCCATAAGCAGTACTGTGTCCAAGAGTCCACAAGAGGTACGTATTGCGGAGACGACGGACTGGAGCGTTGAAGTTGATATCCCGGAGCACACTACTGCAGTTAATCTGTGTTCGTATGGTGGTAGGTTATCGGGATTGGTCCATAGAAGCTGTCGTAAGGCGAATCTGACAAAACGTTTCTAGATTCTTTCGATGCGCGATATGTGCACAACAGCATGAAGCCCAGATTTGTACTCGATATTTAAGAACGCTACGAACCAAGGAGCAGTCAAATGTTTTCAAAGATAACATTCATCATCGAATTACGTAGCGTTGCGATGCAGGAATCCAAGGAAGGCATTGGCCTTTGTATTTGACATAGATATGTGCTCGTTGAATCTAAGTTTGCAATCCAAGATAAGTCCAAGATCTTTAATATAATCAACTCGTTCAAGCGACAATTGATTCATCGAATAATCAAATCTGACCGGCGAGTGACTACGGGTGAAGGTAATGACTTTTCATTTAACAGTGTTTGCTTGCATTCTGTTCATCTGACACCACGATGTTAACCGCTCGATGTCATTTTGTAGACCACAGCCATCTAGGATCGATTCAAATTCCGATCACACGGAAGACTTTCAAATCATCAGCATATAACAACTTACAGGAACATAGGTGGTCACATAGGGTAGAGCGCTACTTTGTCGTAATCGCCCATTTTCGTTCTATCGATCAGAAAAGATCAATAATATCAATGATTTAACCGTACACAAATCAATAATAGGTTTGTTCCGATGCGTTAATTCATTAGCTACAACATAAACCTTGTTAGAGCGCATTGTATGAATATTTACGCTCATTGTTCTCAAAACAAAAGAAGCGCTCCTAGTGAATCCCCTTTTTCTACGTTTATCCGTAGGACGAAGAAAATCTAATGGCGTTTCAATGCGTTAGGACGGAATGGAAACTCGTAGAACGAATTTAGAATCAAGAAGCAGTATTAGATTTTAAACAATATCCCAACAATTTGTGGCTCTTTATCAAATCCAACGGTACGTATGGAAAGGTGAATAAATTTAGAAGTCATCTTTGACAAAAAATATAAAATTCTTAGTTTAAACTCATTCAGAAAAGAGAAACCCAATATCGTTAATAAATAAAACGGAAATAAGAGGCCCGAAGTGGCTTCCTTGTGGAACTCTCGATGGTATATCAAACACATTGGATCTGGCATCATGAACGTTATCGAAGGCCTTCCTGGAGGATAAATATTATTTTAACCAGCAAACGACCCACGGCGGAAGACCAAGGCGGCTCAGCTTTGTGATAGCGAGGTCACTTGTCGAAAGCCTTAGAGAAGTCAATGTAAATGGCGACGCTTCTATGCTACCAATAAGAGTGTTGGTGTCGGACATCATGTTGGAGATCGTCGAGCGCTTTTTCATGTATCTAACTGGATACAACTTGTCATGCAGAAGACTTTCGAGAACCTTGACCAAAAAATTAAAGATCGAGATACGTCGGTAGTTTTCCACGCTGTAAATGTTACCTGACTTGAAGATCGGTGTAATGGATCCAGGAGCGAACGATTGAAGATATACATAACGGGTGTGGCCAACGATGATAGACGATGGAATACGATCCGGATCTGGGCCTTTCGATGCATCTACCGAGCATAAGGCTTTGAAAATAGCGTCATGGCAGATGTTAAGACTGGTCGATGAACTGCTGCTGCGGAGGAGTTTGATCGAGTTCGAAAACGCTTCGGAAGAAATCAGCGAAGAGGTTTGCAGCTTAGATTACAGGTGACGTCAGCCGGAATACCAGCTGATCTTTTGCGAGCGTTTACGAAATATCAGAACAACGATGGGTTTGTTTTGAAGCCACTCTGGAGGTTATCGATATTTTCACGAAAGCAAACTTCATGCAAACTATTGTACTCGGCTTCTGCAAGCTGCGCATCATACTTGTTTTCAGCAGTCCTGGAGCGGAAGTAACGTTTACGGGTTTTACGAATACGGTTACGCAGATTACACAATTGCGGATTCCACCACGGTTATTTAAATGCATAGAAGGTCTACGAGCCTTTACCGCAACAGTATCATGGATTACTTGATAAATATTGTCATAGACACGGACACGGCGGCATCAATGATAGACAAGTTAAGTAATTGCACCCAATCCAACGCTGAGATCCTCGCATTAATATCTGCTGGATACGATGACGGATGGTCATTCGAACAGATATCAACTTTCAAAACTAACGGCTATGATGGCGAACAACTTTCAAAATAGCAAATGGTGGTTCAAACAGCTCAATAGGATCTGAATCACCGGCGAGCACCAGGTCGAGAAGTCGAGTTCGCGTTGACCAGATCGCTGATTTGCTAATGTCCTGCAGACAGTTAGGACTCGATTACAGCAAGTTCCTGTTCAGATGAAGCATTGAGAGGTAAGAATCCTTGGACATTCTCATCGAAGTCCCAAGCTAGATTCGGCAGGTTGTAATCATCCATAACTATAGCCGTTTCATGAGGGCTAGCCATTTCCAGAAGCTGTTGTATGGAGTCAGCGTGCTTGGTGTTGGTGTCGAGTTGACGACTGGGACGAATTTAGATGCAACACAGGAAATGCGATTTATGTGGTAATATAACTGGCACAGCAATTTGTTAGATTAAGCAATTAAGACACCACCACCACGTCGTATTACACTGGTGCGGGAATTCCGGTCATAGCGGTGACACTGACGTTTTGATAGTACACGAAAGTAGTAGAAGAGGTATTTGTTACGGCTGGCTCTAATTGCTGTTCAGGATCTGCGTTCAGCACCGGTTTCCAAAAATGCCTTCAATAAACTCCTGAAATTCTACTCCTTGTGGCCAAGATATAGCAT